AGTGTATAAAAAAAGATACAGAGAGTAAGACATTGCTCTGCATCATTTTAAAACTAAAGAGAAAATTGTCAGCCCGAGTACTCTAGAGCCAAAACCAAAAATAACCAGAAATAAAGGGAGAGCTGCTCAGTCTCATTTGGCTGCCTAAAATTAGGGCAATGCAAACAATAAATTAGATGCAGAGTTTAATGGAAACTGGACATTTAAAATTCTGTTCAGTGCCAAAAACTGTGGGTTATTAGTAAAAACCAAGCAAGACAATAAATTATTTCAATGTAATGTAAAGTATCAGCCTTAGCCTTAGACCCAAGGTGGAAAATCCTAATAATCCACACATTTCCCATGTTGGATAAGAAAATAAAACCCCGTTGAGATTATTTATTTCTGAACAGAGGTTCACACAACGTCCATATTCTTTGTGATCCCTTCAAAGGGAGAGCAGGAAAAACACAGGAACAAGTCACACCGCTGATATCCTCCTATCCTTTTTTTCCTTTTTTTCCAAGCACCTAAATATTTTAACAAACAGCTGAGGATTCTGCGCTCAAAAAGGAAAGGGGGGGAAAAAAAAAAAGCAGCTACAGTCAAGTCCATCTCGCTTCCAGGTCAATTTGGGTTCCTGGGGTTGGTGTCCATGCTGTGGAAGCCACCCAGCTGATCTCCGATGGCAGCAGCGCTGCCGCCTGACCCGGGGTGACAATCTGCAGAGAAACCGTGGGGCTGGCAGCTCAATGGCTGTGACTTTAACAGCACTGCTCTGGGCCCGGAATCAATTCTCTCTGTTTACAGACCATTTCACAGCCCTTTACCTGCAACATCACTTGTGTCAGTCCCATAAATACTTTGGTGTATATAATGCTTGAATTAGCATAATGGTTCAGGCACAGGGCTTTAAGCACAAAGAAGGACACGTCAACATGTTCTCTTCACTTAAGCAATTAAGAGCCATTATGCTGCTTCAGTGGAAATATCATCAAGGTTAAAGACAATCCCAAACACCCCTCTAACCTTTTTATTCTAAGTCTAATAAATGAGGCATAGAAATTGAAATGTTAGTAAACAGTGCTACTTGCAAGCTCTTTTTGTATCATGTTTAATCAGAGCTCTCATTCGCCGCTTGTGAAGTGCACGCTCGCCATGGGCACAGGCTCAGGGATTATTCAAATTATTCCCCCTTTTGCAAAAACTCACCTCTCTGTAGGGGTTTGTTTCGTGCCTAGTGGCAAGGTCTGAGTGCTCGGATGTGGCAGGGTTAAAAAGAAAAAATAAATATAGTGAAAATCAGCAGAGATTGGATCACACAGAATAATTCTTGATAAATTCTTTCTCTGCATGTATCCGAGTGCACTCTGATATTTATTTTTTTAACGTTTACTCCAGGTTTTGTATTTTTCTCTACATGTTACTTAGGAAAAGGAGCCAGTGGAAATTTGTTATTATATTGGTTTTATTTTTATTTTTATTTTTATTTATTTTAAGATGGCAGCATTCAGCCAAGGCCAGAACAGTTGCTCGTGGGTGAGTCTGGTGAGATTCAGCATGGAGGATCCCAGGCACTGCATTTTCAGGGCTTGATTTTGGGGTGTGTGCTGGTTTGTTTGCTCTGAATTCATCCCTAATGCTCAGATCCTGGATGCCAAAGGCTTTGAAAAATCTTAGGAAAAACGGGGAGAGAAATTGAGCATCTGGAGCAGAGAGAAAGAAACCCTTGGCAGGGAAAGGCCCAAAATAGAGAGGACAGACCCAACAGCACTCCAAGAACTGTGTCTGTTTACCAGACACCCTCCTGAGGCAAATCCTGCTTTTCCTGCAGTATTTGGAGTATTTCATGTTTGGGAAACACTTGAGCTCTGTTGTAGGTTCACATAAATGTTGGAGATTATACAACTTTCTTTTATTAATGCTATGATGAATTTTTAATTTTTTTATTAATGCTTTTATTAAATTTTTAACTAATGTTTGAGTCACTTCCCTAAACCTTGTGGAAAAAGAGAGTGGGTGGGCAGTGTGGGGTGTCTGAAGGCTCTAGCAATGGGGTGGCAAGCATATGTGGGGGCTAAAATCCTGGAGTTTGGGGCATCCATTGCAGCAGGTCCTCTCCAACAGTTCCATGCTCCTTATTTGCTGCTCTCTCAGCTCTTCAGCCTTGAGTTTTCCTATCAGGAATCTCGCTGGGCATTTTGGCTGCTCGAGGCTACAGTGCTGAGTGCTCACAGGACTTGTAGTGGCAGCTCCTTCCTGTCCCCGCAGGAGGGGGACAATGATCCTGAGCCATCCCTCTGGGTCTGTGCTCGACATTCCCAGTGGCCACCACACCTTACAGAGTGTCCTCTCCAGTCTTAGAGCTTTTTTTTTTTTTCCCCATTTTTTTAGTATATGACTTTTCTAAACTTAGAAGAGATCAATTTGAATTACTGATTTCACATTCCAAGAACATCACCATTCCTCAGAGTTTCTGAATTTTTTGTGTGGAACATCTCATCCCACCTGCAGCTCAACTGCTGCCACTCTGGGCTGGGATATGGCAGCAGCTGGGAATGGCTGTTTCACTCCAGCAGAACTTCAAACAAAGCTCAGCTTCATTGCAGTACCCTCAGCTTGAGCTGCAGACCCAGAATCTGCCTGATGGGAGGAATTCCCTCCTTATTTCATGCTCCCCCCTCAGGAGCACCCTGAGAAGTTCCCAAATTACAGCAGAGGTTTCTTCAGAAGCAGGCAGGGCTGAAATGAAGATTGGCTCCTTTTTAAGGACACCCAGTTATGGGAACTTAGTAATTGAGCCATTTTGTTCTGCTCTCCACCAGCTTCCAAAGGAAGCACAAATTGCTTGGTTGTAGTTTAAAGCCTGACAATAATAAGCAAACATTTACAGCCTGATTTGATCTGCTCTCACCCCACTGCAATAACTTCCTTTGAAGGCTGGTTTGAGATCCACGGCCATGCCTGGAGGCTGAGAACTTGATTTTGCTCTTCTCACAATTCCTGTGCTCTGCAATCTCTCCTGGATGTCAGGAGCTGCTTGGCAGCTTCTCTTGGCTGCCCATGAGTGTCCCCCCCCATCCTTCAGTGAGGGAATCACTGAGTGTGGCCAGGCTGTGCTGAGGCACCAGTGGTGATCCATCAATCAATGGGTGGAGAAAAAGCTGCACATTCCTCATCCCAGGTGCACAGGAGCACCGGGATTTCTGTTCCATGTCCAGCTCTCCTGATAGTGATATTCCAAGGGTTGCTCCCCTGTTTCCTGACCAAACCAGCCTGCAGGACAGGAATTGGTGGAGTTTGGAGCTTGGATGGGAGAACTCTGCAGAGATGAGTAGGGAAGGGACACTGCGCCCTAAGGACACGGGGCAGGACATCAGGCACTCATTCCCTGCTTCCTACAGCACCTTCCAAACCCGCAGATCCTTTAGAGCCCCTTTCCTTTTCCATGTTTAGAGCTACAAAGATTGGTTTTGGTACATAGCAACACTTTAGCATCTTCTGAGGCTCTCAAAGCAGGTATTAATTAAGCTCCCGAGCACCGGTGGGAAGGGAGTAAACAGCCAATTGCCACTTTATGGCAAGGAAATGACTGGCCAAGGTCATCCAGGCAGGCACAGGAGGGAGCAGCCGTAAAACAAGAATTACACAGCTGCCTTTCCTCCAACTAAAGATGCCCCAAAATAGGAGCTCGCCTGAACTTTATTCAGATTTGGGGGGAAAAAATGTGCAAAGCCATTCAAAAGATTTTTCCCAGCTAGATCACAAGGGCTCAGTTGCATTTTCCAGCCCTGGGTCTGATGGCACTCACTCCAGCTGAGACAAGAGCTGTGCTTGAGGAATGAAGGCAGGAGATATTGTATTCCTGGGAGGAGGCTTTGATAGGTCACTTTATTTTATTCTTTCAGCCTGATTTCCTCAGCATCTGAATACATGCAGATAATGATAATTCTGATGTGTTTTCTGTAGCTAAGCATCAGCCTCGTTTGCCTGTCCCTTTGCTAGGACCAAAACTCCTTGGTAGAAATAAGAACCAGAGTAGCTTCTGCAGCACTGTGGGAGCTGTTTCTTCTGTTGCCTCGGGCTGGGAGCAGCTCAGTGGTTACTTTGTAGGGTGGAAATTGAGAAGGAGAAACAGAATCTAGAAAACATTTTGAAAAACTCAGCAGATCAACATGTACTCTTTAAAGCTTTATAACAGCAGTTGTAGCAGAGATCACCTCTTCACCTCCCTGAGCCTAAATACCTGCTCTAAATTCATCATCTCTTCACCTCCCTGAGCCTAATTCCTGCTGCAGATTCCCCCTTCTGTTGACAATGTGGGACCCACCATGAGAATCCATCCCACCCCGAAACAGAGAGCAGGCAGAGCCAGCACCATCCTCATTATTTTATCTCTCTCATTTGTCATTCCAACAGCCCTGTCCACTCTCACCCTATAAAAGAAATTATAATTGAAATCATGCCCGTGTGTTTTGAGGCAAGAGCGACTCTGTGATCATTTAGCTTTATCCAGGCTGTAACAAAAGCTGCCGCAGATGCTTGTTCCACTTTTTTTCCTGCACAAAGAAATAAAGCACAGTTGCACAAATGACATGTATGTCAATCTTTAGGTCACAATGCTTCCTGCAGTTGTATCCCAAGTAGGAGACATCAAGCTAAAGGCATTTAAGAATTAACAGTCTGTACCTGAGACAAGAAATGGAGTTTATAAAACAGGTGGATGAAGACCAGTATTCACTTGCATCACATTAAAGCAAATCCATTTACATTTTATTTCCTATCTACTGGCTCGAATGTGCATTTTTACCATAACCAGGCTCTGCAGTTCCTGGAGGATGTGGGATATTTGCAGGTGGTTTTCTTTGGCCTGGTAGAACTTCAAGGCCAGGCTGGACAGGGTTTGGAGCAACCTGGGCTAGAGGGAGATCCCAAGCCAAACCAGTCTGGAATTCTGTCACCTTCCATGTAGGAAATGATCTATCACAGGAAAGGAAGGAGACACTGCCCATAAAACTCCACTCCCCCCACTGAGGGTTTTGCTTTTCCACCCTGAATCCACATGGAGCTCACAGGATTCTTTAGCAGTGCCATAAGTTCTGCTCAAAGCCAGGGAAGAGTTAGCACCTGGTGCTCCAGGCAGCCCCAGCTCTCCAGATTTCTGCCCAAATGCTCTCTTCCCTGAGCATTGCTATCCTGGGTGCATATTAACCATGATTGAAACAACGCCCACTGGAAGTCTTAAAACCTTAACCACCAGTTTTACTTCTAAAATAAAGTAAACTGCCAAAAGTTCTGATAAAAGTGACAATTTATATTTTTAAGTAGTACGTCCGGAATTTTCCTATAGCTGTAGACAAAGGGATTCTTACCCAGATAAGTATAAGAGCACCAATAAATTTAAGGTAGCTTATGCAAGTTAGGCACTAATGAATGTCATCTTCTGTTTTGTCATGAAAAAAGATCTTTCTGCTGCTAAAGGAGACTGATTTAGATTATGAATAGCTGTAGTGATTTGCAAAAATGGCTCCAGAGAGATAGACTGAGATTCCATATACTCATGGCACTTGAGGTTTCTGCCCTTTTTGTTGAAAATTAATTTGTCCTGTGGGTTATTGGATTCTAGCTCAGCCAATGTATATTGCTCAGTCATCACAAATTTACTTAAAATTTAGTGTAGCTGAAGTTCATTCAACAAGACAAAAGTCCACAGTTGAAAGCTTCTAAAAATCTTTTTAAAAAACTGGCTGATGGTGTAATTGAAAGCGCTGGGATGAAGGAGATTTACAGCATGTTTTGCAGGTATCAATATCTGGTTTATTATATCAGAGACTCTTCAGTTTCCTCTCTGGATGGTGAAAACAAAAGGATGGTTGCTGTCCCCTTGGTGGGTTTGTCCCATCCTCAAACCCCAAACTTACTCCTAAAATAGAAGTGCCTGGTACCATTTTCTACAGCTTCCTCCACTATTTCTTTAATTTGACACATATTCTTTTTTATGGAATAGAGAAAGAAACTCTGGCTATAAAATGTCAAATACCTCCTCTTACATACCATTTCTTTTTATTTTTTTTCCTTTTATTTCCTTTCTTTTCTGCCTTACTTTCCTTTGTTTGCCTTTGATGTATGAAAGGAAATTTCGTTCATGTTCTTGGAATCCCCATCTGAGTTTTCACTTCTCAGCTTAAACGTTGCCTTTGCTTGTAAATTTGATTCCCAAAGACAAATAGCTTCAGGTAAAAAAAAAAAAAAAAAAAAAAATCTAATTCTGCTCAAATCAGCAATCCTGTTTAAATTAAAAGGCTGTAATTTGATTGAGGGGTGCAAGTCCTCTCTTAGCCCCACGCTGCTGAATTGGGCTCAGAATCCCCACCAAGAGGGGCTGGTGAAGGTTTCCAGACACAAACCAGGGGGAGCTGGGTGCAAACACCAATGTGGGCAAGGAGGGGTGATCAAAGAATGAGCAGGTATTAAACATTCACAGCACAGTGGTTTTTCATTACCTATAGAGGATAAAAATCTTCTTGATGAGAAATAATTCTCCTTATTTTAAGCTCAATCAAAAACAGTTGAAATGACGGGGATTTTTAAAAAGAAAAATACGAAGGCAAATAGTGCTGGCGGCATATGGGGAAGGCTCATTTTGTGCACAGCCACCGAGGATGGTCCCCAAATACTGAGTCCATAAACACTTTGTTTGTGTTCTGCCTACCAGGAATTACGCTTTAAAAACAAGAAACAAGAATTTAAAATTCAGTTTCAATTTAATATTAAACCCACTTCGTAAACATCACAGTAAAATAAGAGGAAATATGGAAACCAAAAATTCTCCCAGTCCAGATCTCTGTTCAGGCCGCTATTTATTTTATATTTCCTTTTTTCCCCTGGCTCTGCTGATACATCTGAATACAACTGATCAAGTTTCAGCTCTGAAGCTCTCTGCTCTTTGCTTGATACACAATTGCACGAAATGAGATACAGTGCCATAACCAAATCGTGACACAATGGACTGGAAATTTTAGATTAATAAACCTCTTTCGGAAGAGAACTAAATAACTTTTACAGTTTTATCTGTGGCTATTTGTTTCTTTGAAGATTTATGGTCCCTGCAACAGATATGCATCTTATCTTTCACTCTTCAGATTACAGGAAGATGATTTTAAACAGGCTCCTGACTGGCACGAGCTGGAATTGCAGATGATCTTGCTTTAAAAAAATGCTAAAAGTGAACTTGCAAGTCAAATGAGAATATCATTACACGTGTCAGAGGGGTCTGAGAGCAGAATCTGCATCCAGCTAAACAAGATCTAATCCTTCTTGCGGCCACCCGGCATCCTCAGGCAGCTCTTTAGCATCCGGGAGCTTCACGAGGAATTCCAACTTTCCGTGCCGCTTTAATTGATTGACGCTAAAAGTTTAAAAACTCCGATCCGAGGAGCTCTCACAAAGCTCCTTTAAGCGAGGCTTCTCCTTTCAAAGCCGCCTCCTCGATTGAAAGTGGCAGCCCACATTTTTAGGTTTCAAGCAGCTCTGTCATTCCGGCAGGAATGTGTCTGCCACTTCACACGAAAGCTCGGCCTGAAAGACATGTACTTTGAATCAGAGAATCAATAGAACACTTAATGGACAATTAGGAGAACAGCTGTAGGACTGTCAAAGGCCCATCTGTACACGGCTCGGCTGGACAGGGCACGGAGCTCGCACTCGCTGCCCCGGGGCACCGCTCCATCACCAGCCCCCTCTCGTTTCCCAGCGCCGCTGATGGAGGATTCCTTTTTCATTACAAATTTTAACACGTGTAGAAAATTATGGAAATTGCTCGGGCCATTTGTCAACTTATATCATGTGAATTGATCAATAAATTTCACCACTTTGTTGTTAATGTAGATAAATTTTGGCATTTAATTAAGCTACAAGTGAAAATGTGGCCACTTTTAATTTCGGCAGATGCTCCCTTTTCATCTGTAATCCAGGGATACATTGGCAAATACAATTCAGTCGCTAAATATTTATAGACAACATGACAATTCCTAAAAGAGTTATCATCAATGATTTTGGTTCTGAAACAATTAGCATTGTTTGAAAGAGCTCATGTGGAAAGCTGAAATAAATCCTGAGCAGCAGATCAAATTATGGCTACACAGGTACATTGAATGTATAAAGCACATAAATCCACACATGGTATAAACACATGATTATTCCAGGAATACTGCTCTGTGCACAAACGTGGAAATTCTGATCAGCAAAGGTACAAATTCCCACATCCATAAATACTCGTGCACTACGCAGAAAGTGTTTACAGATATCTCTGGATGAGACCACTACAGTGATATTTATCCTTAATGGAGCTGCTTTGCAAATATATAATGGGAGAGATTGATCTCGGGAAGTAACACCACAGAAGGAAACATTTCAAATACAAACACTTTATGTTGGAGAAGTAAGAGTTGACAAAAGCATTGTTGCTTGTAACAATAAATATATTTAAATCCTTTTAAAATACCCAGTACATTTCCAACCCGTGATAATCAGGCATCGGCCTTTAAACCTCCCGATATTTTTTAAGCACACACAGATTTGGCCAGACAATAAGAAACATAAATGAACATTTTAGGCTTTCTATATGGCCTTAGGGAGGCTGAGATGAAATCCTGCCTCTGACAGCCAGAGGCCCCAGACACAGCACTCAGCAGCCAGGCTTGACATGATGAACTGCTGAGGCTGCTCTGAGAGCCAGGGGGGTTTGCCTGGTGCTGCTGCTGCTGCTCTGGGGCAGGGGCAGCCTTCAAACCCCATTGTGGGGCTGCTAAAATCCCCCTGAGCGGGCAGCTCCTGCCCTGACCTGCAGCTCTGGGCTAAAGGACTTGTCTAGCATTTAGAGCCCAAGTCCTCGTGGGTCCTGCAGGATTCTCCTTGTGCAAGGAGAAACCTGACTCTGGGGGAATCAGGAATCAGAAATCTGACATGGTTCTGGGGGAAGCAGTGGTGCTCACACACTCCTGGTCCTCAGCAAGGGCTCCCAGTGCCCTGAGCAGGCAGGTTCAGCACCTCCCCACAGCCCTGTACTCCAGGCACAAGGACAGAAAAGCAGCACCCCACAGGTAAAAGTCCTTTTGCTTGACTCCTTTGTGTACTTCTCTGTTTTCACTGCTGGGCAAAATCATCCAACTCAGTGAGAAAAAAATAAGAGAACACTCAGACACACCAATCATTTTTAAAGTGGAGTCTCCGTGTTTGGGGATTTGTCACCACTGCAGCAGGTTTTATTTCCAGGTTTCCACAGAAAGTGGTCAGCAGATTCCCTGAAGTTGTTGGGAGTGTGGGGAAGAGGATGGGCATCCTGTTCCAGCTGAGACTCACTGGCCTGCAGCCGAGGATTACAATTCACACAGAGAGAACAGGGAATGCACTTGCAGGAACTGGGGGGCATTTGAACCACAGGGGAATACATGGACAGCACAAAATACTCCATAAATACAGAACGTTCTAACCAAATCTTGAGTCACTGAAATTATCTCATTGGCCTTTCCTCTTGAACAGAAAGCTTTGTCTCAGCTTTCTGTTTTTTTCTTTTTTTTTTTTTTTTTTTTTTTGCATTTCACAGCATTGGCATTCACTCCTCTTGGACTGGATCAGCACGAATTCTTCAGAACATGCCCAGAATTCCTGTTCCTGATGGCTCCACGATGCAGGATCTTCTCTTGCTGAGAAGGAGCCCTCCTGGAGAAGGCTTCACATCCAGGCTGTCACTGCAGCTCCTGGCAGTGCCACCACCCCAGCTGCACAGGTACCTCCAGCCCTCAGCTGGGTACAGCACACACAGCAGGGGATGGTGCCAGGGGTGGGGAGGGGACTCCACAGCTGCATCCCACTAACTGTGACTTGTGCCTGACCTGGCACGTGGAATTAGAGCAACTTTGGAAAGATAGGGAGCTTAAAGGCCTAAAAACATCTGTCCCCTGCTGCAGTTACATGTCTTGTGGGTCAGTGGTGGTCCCTGTGCTGAGCTGTTTAACACTCACCCTCTCTGTAGCAGTGTGAAAGGACCCAGCACATCCTGTGGCACAGCACCAAACCCCTGGATCCCATCCTGGCACTGACAGGTCCATCCTGGGAGTTGGCCTTGCTGTAAACTCTTCATGGCTGAGGTGAAAAACGCTTGACAGTTTGAGGCAGTGCTTGTTTCTGAGCAATCGTGGGGAATATTTACTTAACTTTTCATGGTGAAGGCTCAAACTCTGGATAGAAGGGGATCACACTACAGTGAGCAACAAAAAAAGTCTGTTAAACAATCTTTGTTTTTTAAAAGAATCTCAATAACAACAAACCCATTTGTCTGTTTCACCAGCAGAGCATTTTTGTGGGAGATCCCTATTTATCTGATTTATTAGAAATGCTCCATTGAGACAGAAAGCATTTTTCTAATAAACCAAGAGGTTAGCACTATTGTTTTCAGTACAGCTGACCCTTGGATTTGCTGTAAAACCAGAATCATTAGAAATGCTCCATGGGTTATATTGGAGCATTTCTAATGAAACAGAGGGTCAGCTGTATTGAAATAATGTAAAATATCTAGATTCATGAGAAAAACTCTACTGAAATGCATGGAGCGTTTCTAATAAATCCAGATTTTAGTGGAGCTCAACCCTGAATCCATTAAAACGTTATGAAAAAATAGTTACTGAGCATGCACCTTAAGTACTTTTTTCTGTGTTAATCTCTCATTTATTCTAAAATGCATTGTAAAAATAGCAAATGGCATCAGTGAAAATTTGTTATTTAAAGTCTGCCATTTCCTCCCCTCCCAAGGAGCAGAGAGTCACTGCTGCCACCAGGAACAGGCACCTGGAATCCCATGAGCTGTGTTCCAGCAGCCCAGGAGCAGGGATCAGCACCTCACTGCAGCCTGTCCCTCTCCAGGCACATTCCAAATGTGGCAGAGCACAAAAGGACCCAGCCAGGCCCTTCCCTGGGATGGAATGAGTGTCGGGAGAGCTGCAGAGCTCCAGGGAGGAGCTGCTTGTGGAGAGCTCTCAGGAATCCCAGCCTTCTCCCAGTGTGGAATTGTAGGAGGGATCATGGTTTTCTCACAGCCACCTAGCAGGGGGCTGGAGCATCACTGTGTCCATTCCCAGGGGATTTTTCCCTGGGAGCCTGAAGTGTCTTCACTGAGAGATGTAAAGGATCTCTGAAGGAAGGGGCATCATAGATAAAAGCCTTGTTAGGAAATACAGGTGTGGTGCACTTTGGGCACAGAGTGGGATGAATTCCCAGGCACCTGGAATCTTCCACAGTCTGCAGCTGAGATTCCTGATGGAGAGACTACATTGCTTGTACATAAAGAGAAACCCCAGCCTGACTTCCCCTGCAAACTGGACATTTATTCTCAATTTACAGTAACATGGTCAGCAATTTAATGAGATTTTTCAAATTACTACCAAGGTTTTTGTACCATTTTTAGTGTACAACACTATTCAAAGCTTGGTGGATTTCCAGGTTTTATTTAAGGCAGATGAAGCTGCTGTAATCTTGTAAAAGTATGTCCTAAAGATGAGATGGCTTGGGCTTAGTGCAGTTTCAAATCCCACACCCATGGCAGGTGACATCTTTAACCTGTGTGACCAAGTAAGCTTGGTAACAGCCTGAACACTGGGGCCTAGGGCAAGAAAAATTGGGTGTTAATTCCAGCATGTTATGAGTCAGGACATGTAAAAACCAAAGAAGTCTTTCTAATTTATTGTTTCACATCAGAACAAGAAGTAAACATTGGCAGGTTTATTTTAAGGTCTTGCAGGAGTCACTGCCTCACTTGGGTGATCAAACCCCTCCTCAGAGCAGAGCTGAAGTGAATTTTATCAGTTTTCCAGATGAACTTTTTGTGAAACTTGTGGCAAGCCTTGGTGATGCTGATGCTGCTAATTCTCACTTCTGTGGTGTTTGTAAAGCTTTATTATTGCACCTCTCCCCTTCTAGAGCTGCTGCAGACACCAGCCAGGCACAGCACTGGGAAGAGTTTGGAGAAGGGTTTGGATCAGCCCCAGCCACCCCCTGCTCTCAGGTAACACATCTCAAAAGCTCTGAAAACAAAGCAAGAGTGATGATTGGATTTATGGCTGAAAGAGCTGCATTGATCAGGCCAGAATTGACCAGACCAATGTTACACTGGGTTACTTCAGGATAATTTGCTTAAAATTCAGCATGGAAAGACAATGCACTCCTGCACGAGGCTGTTCAGGGAGTGGGCTGGTGTGTGCTGTAGCATTTTCCAGCACTGCTCTGGCTGCAGTCCCTGTGCTTTCAGCAGACAGCAGAGGAGCTGGCTCACCTCTGTTTATTTTATGAATGCACACACTCAGCCTGCCTGCAGCTTGTCAGCTTCTCATGCTGCTCCTTTGGCTGCTTTGTACCCCAACATGTACAGAAAATGTATAGGAAAAGTATATTAATATCATTCTATCTCAACAGATTTAATTCTTAAATGCTACATATACTTGGTTAATCTCTCATTTTAGAAGTAGGAAAGGTTAGATTATAACATCAGGTTAGCTCTCTTTGAAGCAGGTAATAATTAAGTTGATTCACTGTTGCAATTACTGTCAAATCCCCCTTAATTACCACGGATTTTATAGCAGCTTCATTATACGTCTGCTGTAATGCATTGTGGCCCAAAGGAGAAGTGTTGCAGGAAATTCTGCATAGCATGTATAATTCTAACCTGCAGTTAAAGCTCCTAGTGAAAGCCTCTGCACTAAATTTATCTTTTTTTGACATTTTCCCCCCTATTATTTAAAGCAGTTGAGCTGGAGGAACACCACTAAAATATACACCTAACTTCCTAAGTGAAAATGGATCTTTTCATAGGTATTAGGAATAAAAATGGGAAAATTATAAAATTAGCAGCAAATTATCCTTGGGAAACTGCTCAGCAAAAATGAAGAATACTTCTGGTCAGGTGTCAAGGGGGGTTGAGAAAACCTCTGCCCCATGTTGTGAGTCATGTACCCCTGAACAACCACTGAAATCCCACTGAACACAGTTTTTGAGGCAGTCAGAATCTGCTGGAGCACTCTGCTCTCCATGAATATTTCCATCCATTGTTCCTTTTGCATTTTATAAATGGAATTTTTAAAGCAACTCTCCTTTTGAACTGACCCTCCAAGTAACTCGGGGCCTGGTGAAACTGCTGCTTTCTGGCTCACGTGTCACTGCTTGTTTCCATTGGAAAAATCTTTACAAATCAGGGTCTGTAAATTGAGCCTGCAACAGTTCAAAACAGATAAGAGAATAATGTGTGCCATGGATTCCCTTGTAGGGAAGGAATTTACTCCCCAGCACATATTAGATGCAGAAAGGGCTCCAGTGTCAGTGACACTATTGGCAGCTGTGTTAACAGTGAAGGAGCTGCCTTTGTACAGCAGTACAGTTATTAAATTTCTCCAGAGACCATGACTCATTAATCAAATATTCATACATCTCTGTAAATACATGCTGAACAGAGAATAGCCTCAGAGCTGAGCATCCCAGCACAAGTGCTCTTTCATGTGGCCCTGCCCCAGCCCTGAGAACATGCGGTCATGTTTTGCATTTCTAATGCCCCGTGCGCTCCGGAGCACCCCGGTCCCTAAAAACAGAACACAAGTGATCTTACTGATGGCAAGTGTTACACAGCCACAATTAAAATTGCTTCACTATGGCTTCATACCATCTTTTTAAGAGTGAGGACAGTGAATCAATTCTTCTGTTCTTTGTTTACCATCAGACAAGTAACTTTTTCCCATACGGATGGAGGAACCCAAGGCCATGCTCCTTTTAATACAAGAATTTGTATTAGCATGGAAACAACAAACCAATGGTTGGACTGGGAAGGCCAAAAAAACTTCATGTATTTGCAAAGGCATGAGCTTTTTGTGTTGAACAAATGCTGTATTTTGTGTGTCCTCACTGCCAGACAGACACACATCTCACCTGCTCCAGATGTGAACACACCTCAGGTTTTGGCCATGGTCAGGCTGAGATCACAGCACAGAGCTGAAGCCTCTCTGAGATCAGCTGAAGTTCTGCTCTATGAGCCTTTGAAACAATTCAGTTTTCTGATTTTCCTAATCCACATTTGGGTGGACTTCCCAAAATCCAGGACTTTGGGTTTGAGTGTCGCAGGTTCTGACTGACGCTCCTGGTCCAGGCTCATGTGGGCTGGAGTAGAAGAATGTTTTAAAGAGGGTTCTTTGTAAATGGGGATGATCCCATTGCTGAATGAAGGTTTAAATTCTCTGCTGTTGTGCTCTGCTGGACTCAAGGGAGCAGGGAATGGAAGGAATTACCTGAATTTTCAAGTCCAACTTGCAGGAAGTGTGGACAGCACAGAATCCCAAGTGATCCTGGTAAGAGGAGGGATACGTACAGATAAATCCTGGAAAGAGGTGAGTCTCAGATGATATTCCTTCATAGCCTTTAGAGGCTGGGACATAGATTTCACCCCTGGAACCAGTCCCTAACTGCAGATTTGGAAGGGAAATTTGCATAAAATCCTTATGGCCCAGTTTAAGGATTGAGCTCCAAAAATACTTCCTTTTTAGTTCCCTTTCTAATAAATACAGATACTCTACTTAAGCACCTCCACAGCTCCTACCACATTCATTTTAGTGCATTTTAATTTTCCTTAACAAGGCTTGACATTTACATTTTAGAAAGAAAATCCTCTCCTATATTTAATTAGGACACTGACTGAGACAGGATGGCAATAACCTCTCACACTTCTGTGTAAGACAGAACCCCCACCTT